AACCTCTCTGGCTTTCCCGGTGCTGTCAGCTGTCGGAAGGGCCGCGCTGGTTGTTCCGTGGCATTCCTGCTGCCGCCCTGCGAAGAGAAGGAACTGTGCACACGGTTTAAAAATGCCTTGGAACGGGTCACATTCCGCTGCTTGTCTCCGTGCAGGAAACATCCACGGAACCGGGGACAAGTCCTCCGCGGGCCTGCATGATTTTTCCTTCCAGTGTTCAGGAGTGCCACACCCCCTGTGTACGCCTCCTCTCTGCCTCCTTGCAGGATATCGGAGCTAGGATTGCAAGGGGAGGCTTTCCTTCGGAGCAGCTGCTAATCCTTGCCTTTTCCTTCCTGGAGTTTCTTAACGTTAACCCCTTTGTGTGCACTGTGTCGGTCCTGGGGCTGGGAACACGGGCATGACAGGGGCAGCACCGACGTTCCCAGAGACTCGGCCCCCTCAGCCGCAGCCCGTCCGGTGGCCTCGAAGCCGCCACGTCAGTCCGGGCACGTCAGTGCTTTAACCAGAGTGCGTGCTGTTCTGTGCGAGTTGTTTCTGCACATGTACAGAGCTGTTAAGTCGCTCAGTTTACCGAGGGCTATACCCTGAGTTAAAATCACAGCTCTGCCAGCTTCAGCCCCCTGATCTGCATCGTGGGTTTAATATTGATGATGCTCCGCGTTGGCCTGTGTGTACAAGATGTGCGTTCAACTGTTGGCCGGTGCTTCCTGGAGTCGCGAGTACGTAGATGGCACGCTCAAAATACACCCCGCGGCAGGGACTGTGCATTTGCTGTGGAATTTCAGGCCATTGGCAGTGGCGTGTGGGTGATGAAACTCAATATTTGCTGACAGGAATAAAACTTGGGCACCACATCTTGGATTTCAAAATTCCCATTCTGCAGTTTGGTGGTCTGTAACAGCCTCTTCCCTCTGCGTGCCCTTCAGCTGCATTGGATTTCAGCTCTCATCATCCCCAGCCAGGTGCCGCCTGGAGGGCTTCTAGCTGGGGAAGGGGCTGGTTTGCGGTGTGAGAAGCCAGAAAACATTGAGGCTTTACCTGTCAGCATCAATGTTGATAGCTTTGTAATTTTCCGAAGATGGAGATGGTTCTGCATATCTCTTTCGGATTTGGGATTCTCCTTTGTCTAATTTATGTTCCTCTGAGAAGGTTTTTGCAGTAGCTTCCAGGCAGGACTTAACTATGCACTCAAAAGGCTGCAAGCCTGACAGCTTTTCGGGAAGGGGTTCAGCCCCTTCCCTGATTTTGGGTGTAACCCTAAATTGCTTAGGACTGTGCCAAGCAAATTCTGATCCTGGGATGGGCCTCCTGAAGCGTGCATTAAAAAAACCCGTGTGTGTAAATAAGAAGCACACCCACAAAAGAAATTCTAGCCTGCCTGCCGTGCTAGTTTTCTAGTTTCAGGGAGATTTTAAAAGTGACCCCCCCCCCCCCCCCCCACACACACACCTGACTTGCAGCATGAAGTGTTTTATTCCACCCAGAGAGCTTCTGGCCATTGGGCAGCAGAGAAATTAAAACAGCATCAGCTTTGCATTTATATCCCACCGTTTTTCCTCTTGCACAGAATCCAAAGCGGCTTGCACAGCCCTTCGAGTTAGTGACTGGCCCCAAATCCCCCCGGGAGCACAAGCGGGGACTAGAACCTGGATTTCCCAGGTCCTCGGTCCCACACCCTTACAACCACACCATGCTGGCTCCTGCAATAATAATAACAACAACAATTATTATTATTACTATTTCTGTCCTGCCCCCAAGTTTTGCATTGCATGCAGAAGATTGCCGGGGCTTGTTGCAGGTCCCTCCATGCAAGAACCCAGCGTGGCCAAGAAACCATATATTAAAAAATGCAATGCATAGACGCATTTAAAATCATACGTCTGAAATTATGAATGCACAATGAAGTGCAATAAAACCATGACAACAACACAGATCAAATGCTTGCTAGAATAAACTGTGCCCTAGAACAATTGGACCAGAGGGAAGGTGATCCTGGATTTAATCCTAGGTGGGTTTGCCCGGAACCTAGTCTGGGGTGTAAATTTTGTTGAGCTGATTGGAAACAGTGATCATACAGAAATCAGATTTAATATATGTTGAAGTGGCAGGTTGCCAAGGAAATCCGACATTGTCACGTTTGGCTTCAGAAGAGGAAATTTCTTTAAAATGAGGGAATTGGTAAAAAGGAAGTTGAAAATGGAGACAAGATGGCCAAATCCCTCCAGAATTCTTGGAGAGGACTCAAAACCACAAAAATAAAAGCTCAGGTGGGGAGTATACTGCAGGTTAGGGAAGGTCGCGCGAAGTCATAGAATCACAGAATAGCAGGGTTGGAAGGGGCCATGAAGCAGGACCACGGGTCACACCACCCCACTCACATGGCTGTCCAGTTTCTTTTTGAATGCATCCAGTGTGGGGGAGCCCAGCACCCCTCCAGGCGGCTCAAGTCCAAGAAAGCCTCCTTCAGAAAAATGGAAGTCTTGCCCAAATGAAGAAAACAAAAGCTTGCTCAAGGGAGATAAAATCAGAGAAGCAAAAAGGCAGTTTGGGGAGCTTACTGCTAGCAACAACGAGGCCAAAAATAAAAATGCCTAGACTGGGTGAGCTGGTGGACTTGGACAGGCTGGACGTGCGCATGGTGGGCATGTCGTGAGCGGAGCCGGCTGGAGCCGGGGGTCAGACTAGATGGCCCAGGAGGCCCCTTCTGCCTCGCTCTGTTTCTATGGCTTGCAACTGTCTTTTAACAAAGTCTCTTGCCAAAGACTGCTGGTCAGACTTCGCAGTCATGGAGATCTTCATATGGATCAGTCACTGGTTGAACCAAAAAGCAGAACAACTGGCAATTTCTCCCTCTGGAGGGATGTAACCAGTGGGGGTCCCCAAGGTCCTATACTGGGAGCAGTGATTTTCAGTCTCTTCATAAGTGATCTGGGATTCGGAGTGGGCCATGAAGTAGCCAAGTTTGATGGTGGATGCCATGAAATGGTTTCGGGTGGATGAAATTTGAAGGGATCGTAAGATGCTCTTTTTCCTGGCTGGGCAAACGCATAACAAAATGTGTCGGGGCAAAAGATCCCAACCAAGTCTAGGGATGATGGGATCTGAGGTGACCGTGTGAGAAAGGGGTCTTGGGGTTGGGCTGGGCAGCTCAATGAAATGTTAACGCAGTGTGCAGCTGCTGTGGGAAAGGCAAACTTGGGTAGGCATAATTTGGAAAGGAATTGAAAATAAAACCGCCGGCTTCATACTGCCTTTATGCAAACCCACGGTGTGACTGCGCTTTGTAAGCTTCTGGTCACTGTGGCAAAAAGGGATATTGTAGGGTTAGAATAGGACTGGAGGAAAGGTTGCAGCGGCTGAGGTTGTTGGGCCAAGGGAAATGGCGAGGAAAGGGGAGCTGTTGGGGGGTCCAGAAGGTTTCCTAGTGTGGAGGAAGTGGAGTGGAAGTTTCCTCCCTCTCCTGTGATACTGGAACGCAAAGGGGGTCATCCCAAGAAACTGACCCGGGGGGAGATCTGGGATGGATAAAAAGAAGGACTTCCTGCATCCTTCAGAGTTAAGCTGTGGATGCAGCTGGAGTGATTGGGGAGGTCTTTGAAAGGGGATTGGATGGATCTGTGGAGGAGTCGGCCCTGTTAGCTCTCTGCTCCCTCCAGTATCAGTGTGCCTGGGTATACTGGCTGCTGGGGAAAATGGGTGGGAGGGTGCTTTTGCACCCCTGTCCTGCTTGTGGGCTTCCTCTGGGTTGATGTGGTTGGCCACTTCGGCAGCCAAATGCCCGGCCGGTCCGGCAGGGCTGCTCCCGTGTACGAGTCCCCTGGTGGGTTTAGGCTACTGCATGGGACGCTTCCCGCCGGCCTTTTGGCTGCCCCGCTGAGCCAACCCTTTGCTCGGCAACCCTTGGGTCAGCTTCAGCTTTGTGTGGGGCCGCCCCCTCCGGGCCTCTGCTTCGTGCGTTGCCACCTGTCCCCCGTCGTTCCGCCGGATTGCCACGTGCGAGGCTCCGAGGGGCCCTGGAGGGACGTGGGGATTTAGGGATGAGCTGGAGCAAGCGTGTCCCGGGGTTGGGAATGGCAGGCACCGGAGCCTGGGCGGGCCAGCGTTGGAGGCTTGGTCCCTGTTCTTTTCCAAAGGCCTGTGTCCCTCCCCCTTCCTCTTCTGGCCTTCCTCAGCCCGGTGCCTTCTGGACTTCCCGAACGGGAGCTTCCCTCCTGGACCACAGGCATCCAGCCCAGGAAGCTTGGTCTGCTGCAGCCTTCCCTTCTGTTTAAACTGTGGCACTCGCCGTTCTTCCTCCTAGCCAGAATCGGGGCCTGTGGCCAACAGTTGCCTATCTCCTTGCCAGACGATGAGTTAAAAAACAAAGCATTAAAATTAAAGTGTGCAATCTAGGTTATCTGACCTCTGGGGGCATCTCCTTCCGGATTTAGGGGTCCCAAACAGAGCAGGCAGGTCCCATCTGTGACCTGGCCGGGGTATTCAAGTCCCCTTGCGCCTGCAAGATTGTTCTCTCCCATGGGTGACGCGCTTGCAGGATCTCTGCACATGCGCAAAAGTTTCCTGTAGTTCTTCCGGAGCCACATGGGCTGTGTAGTGCTTCTGGTGATGGTCAGTGTTGCCGGGTTTGGGACATCCAGATTTTGGTCTCCTCTTGGCCCCACGGCTCACAGGAGGACGTAGGGCCAGTTGCGGGCTCTCAGCCTAACCCACCTCACAGGGTTGTCGTTGTGAGGATAACACGCAGAGGAGGAGAACCTTGGCTTTCTTGCAAGAGGAGGAACGGTGGGCGGGGTATAATTGTTGTCGTTGCTAAAGTTGAAGGTGCCGGCACTCCTTCCTTCCTTCCTTCCCTCCCCGTTGCACCTGATGCTTGCTGCCAGTGGTAGCACGAGCATCTGATGACGCATGCAGCACATCGTATGAATGCATTGGGGGGGGGGGGCATTCCTGTCTGCAGCTTCTGCTGAGCAGAGCCCGGACTGTCTGCCTGGACAGCACCCCCCTGTCCCGCCTTTCCGAATGAGGCAGGGAGAAGGAGGCCGCCGGCACGCGGAAGCCCGGAACGGCTCGGAAACCGAGCCCCCTTTGCCAGCCTGCCCGTTCCCCGTGGCTCTTTGGGATCCTTGGCCGGGGAATCTCATTGTGTGAAAGGAGGCACGGGGCTTTTCTGGTGGGCGCACCGCCGTGGCCGGCTGCCGTTGCGGCAACAAGTGACACCCGCCTTAGCTGCCCAGGGTTTTCCGAGAGTTGTGCTGGTGTGTGGTGTTTGCTCCCTCGTTTGGGGGCTTCGGATGTGTTTTTATGACGAAGTTGCTTTGTGGCTTTTGCTGGCCCAGTTTGGTTTTAACGCCTCATGCGCATCCTCCCTGTATCCTTGGAAAAGGGGAGGGCTGGAAATTCTTTTAAGAACTGAATAATTGTTCTTCTTAGGCTCTGGGGCAGCCTTCCCAAGCCTGGAGATGCTGCCCAGGGATGGTGGGTGTTGTAGTCTTTGCACTCTGGAGGGCACCAGGCTGGGGGAAGCCACTCCAGGGCGTGGGGTGATTGAACCAGTGTGAGGCCAAGTTTGGACGGTGATCCGTGGATATGCGGGAAGGTGTGCCTCTAGACCCTCTTTCCCTGTCCCCATTTAGCGCCTTCCATCCTCTGCCTGGATCCCTTGATGCTTCAGTTCTCAGACTTTTGCTACAACTCTCCCCAGCGTGGAAACTGCACACCAAGAAAAAGGAGTCACACCCTTTTTCGCATGGGCCTTCGCAACTGGGCACGCCGTTCTCGACCGGGGCACGTGCTTTGCTGTGAATCCTAGCCGGGAACGCTGGACTAAGAAAATGTTCTGATTTCGACGCATCAGACACGTGGTACTTGCAGGTTTATTTTTTGTTCGCGGACAGACTGAATTGTTGCAGAATTAGAAGCACAACCTTCTGTTTACACAGCGGTGGCTTATCCGTTCCGAAAAAGCCGTCGCAACTGCAGCTTCCTGCCGGCGCTGTCCCTCGGGGGACGCGTGGGCATCGGCTCTGCTTGCCTGCCGTCCGCCTAGGCTGTCCTTTTTTTGATTTGAAAGACTCTCTGGTTCAAGCAAAATAAATGCCCACCTCCTGCCCTTCACTGCGCAAAGTCCGTGCAGCTTCTCCTGCCGACGCCTCTGGGGAGGGGGCCGGCGCCCGGTGGCACGACCCCTCTTTTAGTCTGGCTCAGTCCCAGGTACCCTATTTTTGGAAACTGGTCGCTGCCGCCAACACTTGTCTGACCGCTTGCGACGGCCACCGCTTGGCCTCCCCAGAGCAAACAGTGGGGCGGTGAAGTGGCTGTTTGGGGGCCTGGTGGAGGCGGGGGGTCTGACCTGCAGGGGAGGTGGCCTTGCAAGGAATCCCTCTGTGTTGTGGCAGTGGCATTTGTGCAAGACCACATCCTGACAGATGGTGCCCCATCTCTGGCTGGGGGGGAGGCAAAGGCTGTGTTGAGGGGCACAGAAATTTATTTTCAGAGCAATCTCTGGCTGTTTTTTCACCTGTACTTTATCTGAGCTTCCTTTGCCAGCGGTTTGAGTCGAGTGGTTATGGAACGAAGTGGTGGGGGGTGGGGCTGAACACCGTTGAGCATGAGGACAGCATGCGCTTTTGGAGACGCAATCAGGGGGTGTGTCCTGGGACGGGTGAGGCAAAAAGGGCCGGCATGGGTGAGCCTAAAGTGTTTTTCTGCCAGGACCTTAGCCCACGTGATGCGGTAGTGAGAGCGCTGGGCTGGGGGACCTGGGAGATCTGGCTTCTGGCCCCCACTCAGCCACAAAACTCCCTCAGTGACTCTGGACCAGTCACGGACTCTCATCCTGGCCTACCTCACAGGGTTGTTGTGAAGAGGATGCGGTGATGCAGATTGGTGACCTGCAACAGCAGGGGTTGGACATGATAGCCTTCTCTGCCCCGTCCAGCTCTGTTCTGTGAGTCTGTGGAGCTCTGCTTGTTGTCTTCACAAGAGGAAAGAGGTGGAATATAAAGGCACTATAATACCACTGATTTACAATTTCTGGCTTTTACAAAGGGAGGGGAGAACGGGCTGGAGCTGGGCAGCCATCAGTGCTCGGGATCGCCTTCCGGGACTCCTCAAGGGCCGCACTGGGATCCTGCGCCCCAGCCGAAAAGTGGAGCGCCTTGACCACAGAGTATAATTTATTCTGTTCATGTTTTGAATTTATGTACCGTCCGTTAGCAGACAGGGTCTTCGCGTGACCTGGCTGTGCTTTGTGAACTTGCTGCGATGGAGGCCGCGTGGGGGTGCGGGGGGTCCTTCGCCCCTTGTCCCAGAACTAACCCCCTTGCCCGCTTTTCCTTCGCAGTGCGTCCGAGATGGCGAGCGTGTTGTCCAGGCGGCTGGGCAAGCGGTCCTTGCTGGGGGCCCGCATATCCGCCCCCCCCTTGCTGGGGGACGGGGTGCTGATGGCCACCCAGGTCTGTCCCCCGCAGCCGGAGCACAGCAAAGGAGCCCTCGCCCTGCCTGCATTTGAGGACGGCCACTTCAAGGAGCACGTGGAAGACCCCGGCAAGCCGAGCCAGCCCTGGCCAGCCCTGCCGGCAGGCCAAAAGGTACTGCGTCCCGCAATGGCCGACACTGCCCCTTGCCCAGACGAGACCCCGGGGTAAAACGCGTGACGAAAAGTTGAGCAGCAGCCACAGTAAATCCGCAGAGGTCATGAAAGCACAGAACGGCATGCTCAGGGATTCAGGGCTCGCCCTTTTCCCTGTTTTAGGCGTGTGCACCGCTGGCTGGGGAACATGGGTGGGTGGGTGGGTGCGGCTGCTGATTGGCCAGGGTGCAAAGCAGCATGCTGGGCTAGAGGCACCCTGCGCCTGGTCCAGGTAAGTCCTGGCATTCTCACATGCAGGCCGGAAAAAGGTCCTTAGACTGGGGGGTGCCGGGCACTTTTCCACCTGAGCGCAATTGGAGTACGGCCGTGGTGAGAGGCAGCCACGAGCTCCCCATGTGTCTGTGGTTTGCCGTGGACTCTCCGGCAGATGCTGCTGAAAGAAGAGGCCCAATGCACCACATCGCAGGCGGTTTAGGAAGATTTCACCCTGGGGTGGCTGTGCTGGCGAGGGTTGATGGGAGTTGTAGTCCCGCACACCTGGAGGCCCTCAGGTTGGGGTCGGCTGCTGTTGATGGAGCCCGTGGTCTCGGAAAAGACCCTCTTCCGAACTGCTGCTCCACAGGCTCAGGATGTGACCGTACCGGTTTGGGAGCAGAACGAGACGGAGGCGCTTCTGGAAGGGGCCGCCCACCGCAGGCGGCTTCCTTTCTCCTCCCCAGAACGTGTCTGCAGGGTTGGAAGGTACTGGCCTCAAGCGGACCGCTCTCCAGGGGGCATCGGCCCAGACGTCGGGGCCAGGGGGGCGGATTCAGCATGGTCCAGAGGCTGGCTGGCAATGGAATCCGCTGCCACCGGACGCGCTGACGGCTGCCCATCAGGGTGGCTTTAGAAAGGGGTTGGGCAGATTCACGGAGGAGCTTTGAAGGCACAGCCGGCCAGTGGGGGCCGGTGGTGGGTCTTTCCGGGGATGGCCCCCTGCCTCGGTTGGCCTCGTTTCTGCCCTGCGTTGCCTCCGGGTTCCCTCCAGTATCTTTCCAACAGTCCTGCGAGGCAGACCAGGCTGAGAGCTGGATCGAGGCAAGGAAGGCCAGAGGGATTTGTACCTGGGAGTCCTCCCTGACTGCTGTACCTGGCACGCTGCGGACGTGCTGGATTGCAGCTCCCATCATCCCCAGCTGGGGATAATGGGAAAGGTTGTCCAACACAGTGGGGGACGAGTGTTTCCTACAAGGCTGTTCTTTTCTGCAGTTGACCAGCAATTCCTTCCGTCCTGACAAAAGGCATTTTATGCCCCATCACTATAGGCTCGCCATTGTGGCATCCCTGCTTTTTCCATATGCTAATTGGAGTTTCCCTATAAATAAACCCCAGGAGTAACGAAGTAGAGTCTTGGTGTAGATAAAATTACATCCGTAAAAATAGACATTGGGAAGTCGGTCAGTGGCTCCATCTCAAATTAGGTCATCGCAAAACGGGATCCGTCTCACGTGGAGCCCAGCGATCCCCTCTCCTCGGAGGGGCCGGAGCGCTGGGCCCTTGCTCGGACGCGCCCCCTCCTGGCCGCCGTCGTGTCCCCCTTAGATCTCGCTCGGCCACGTTTCGTTGGTGTCCGGTTGCAGCGGGCACTGCTTTTTCTGTAGCCCTTCTGGCCCCATTCGAAGATTCTGCAGGCGTGACGTAGACGTCCCCAGACCGCTCAACGCGCCGTTCACGCGGGCGCCGAACCAGAGTGGACGAGGCGTGTGCCGCACGTCCGTATAAAAGGTGCACGTGCGGGCAAGCTCCTGTGTCCCCCCCCCCACAACGGGGGTGCAAAGAGCGTGGCCTGGCAACCCACTTCTGGCAGCCTTCCGCCCCCCTGCTTTGACGTCCGGCGTCCTGCCCGGGTTTTCCCTTGCGGGCGCTAAGAAAACGCACTCCAGGGTTGCCCATGCGGGTGCAACTCTTCCTTCTTCAGAGACTGGAGAATACGGGAGGGGAATCCTGTCGGGAAGAGCCGGCAAAGCCCTCGGATTTCCTTCTCTGGCAATGGCAAAGGATTCCCAGGCGTGTGTACAGCGCACACACGTCTGTGTAAGCACCGTGTGCCGCCCCTGCCCGAGGCATCCCTTGGTAGGGACGTCCAAGAAATCTGCATCAGTCCTCAGTGAGCTGAAATGTTAAGGACCTGCTACAGAATCCTTCCAGCTGTTCCCGAGTCACGAGGATTCTGCCAACTTGCAGACGTAAAAAAAAAAAAAAGTTCTGTTATTTTAGAAACATTTTCCATTATTTTCTACAATTAGTTGGAAATTAGTTGTAGAAAATAATGGAAAAACCCAACCAACCGAAAATGTACCCTTCCCTATAGGCTAAAGCATGAAAATAAACATTGGAAGCTACAAATTTCCGCAGCAAATGTATTTGCTCAAAAGCCGATTCCCTCAATGAGGGGGTGACAGAATGAAAACCTAGCTGTTTGTGGAACATGGACAGCGTGGAGTTCAAAACATGTACACCTCCTTACCCCACTGGGCCAAAACATTTCCAGAACAGCCATGCCTGTGGGACCGGATCCTTTCCCGCGTTGAGGCTCTGGAAGGTGTGTGCCGCATTTCTGCTGCCTCCTTCGCGGGCCGTAGAAAGCCACCGGTTCAGAGTCCAAGGGTCCAGTGGCACATCTTGTTGCGAAGCCTGCCCCGATGGGCGATGGCCACCGAGGTGCCACCGGGCACGTTTCAAGCGAGGGCTCGTGCCAGCCCCGGCTGCTGGTGCGCCAGTCAGTGCTTTTGACGTGCGCGTTTGGCTCCAGTCCTTCGGCTCTTGGGCGCTGGCAGACTTCTGTGATTAGCCGGTTTCGGGGTTTTATGACGGGGCTGTCAAACGGGTGCTGACTCGGGAGGGGTCAAGGCAGCCCACACTGAGCAGGGCTTCGCTTCCCGGACAGGCGTGCGCCTTCTACAACGGGCAGGAGAGCGCCGGCCTGGGAGAGCGCCATGAACTCGGCAGTTGTGATGTGGAAATGGAGCAGGGCTTCTGTGTGAGCAGGACGGCCGAGGAAGCGCGGCTGCCCGACGCCCAGCCCTCGGCTCTCCCAGCCCTGGAGGTGGACCACGCAAGTCCTGCGCCGGTGGGATACGGCAGCACCCCCGTGGCCATGGAGCACGGTCCCTCCGTGGCAGACGCCGCCGTGGCCCCTGCACCGAGGTCGGTTTCCAGGAGCATCGACGTACCAAAAAGGTGAATGTTTTGGGCTGCTTGGGCTGGAGTGATGTAATATCTCTTGTATGACATTCCTATAGTCCTTTCGGTGCAAACAAAATTCTCAACAGCATTTGTAACTGTTAAAAAGGGTGCATGGCTTTCTTGTCCCCTTGTGCCTCTATTTTGCCTATTTATTTATTGGATTTATATGCTGCTGCAGTCGCCCACATCTGGACTCTCTGTGCGGCTCACAGTATAAAACACCAGTAAGCTTAAAGCAGCACAATCACAACCTGTCAACCATACAATCCAAATTCAAAGTATATCAGATTAAAATAGAATAGAAATATTAAATAAAACAGTTTAAAATTGACTAAAGTCAGCATGGGGCCAATTTTACAACCAGAATGCCTTTAAAATCCATTGTTAACAGAACTGGAGAAAAGGTGAGTCTCCACCTGGTGCCGGAACGGTAGCAGCGTTGGCGCCCGGAGCATCTCTCTGGGAATCCTATTCCAGATGTGGGGTGCAGTGCTAAGAAGGGGAGGACTCTGAGAAGGACTCTGAGAAGGAAGTATCATGTCTCTCAGACTGTGCCTGAAGGCAAGGACCACTTCTTAGCAAAGTAAAATCAACTTTAGGCCGATAAACATGGTGCAGTCAAGGCCCTAAAACCAGTTCCTAAAGCGTCAGCAAAGGGTGGCCATATATGGAGAGTGGTATTGAGAGAGAGAGAGATTGATAACGCTTTGCAAAAATTGTAAGATTCAAGCCTTGGGCAAACATGTCCCAGCATTCTGGGCCCATGGCTGGAAAGGACCTGCTCTTCGTAAATATTAAACAACAGTCCCAAAAGGATAAAAACCGGCGTGTAGTTAGACTGGGAGTAGCCGTGTGCTGGGCTGAAGCAATCGCTCGTCCCGCGGCTGCTCCCGCCTGCTTTGAGGAGTTGGGCCAGCAATATTGTGTGTTTGGTTCGAACAAACACGATCTGCCTAACTGAGACGAGACACACGGCAAAGAAACCCGAAGCGTCAGTCGAGAGAACATGCGGCCACGAGCGAGGCGGCGATGGCGGGACCCACCCTGCCCTGCGCTAGGGTTGCAGCAGCAGCCAGGTGCAAAGGGAAGAGCTGGTGGTGTCCTGGCCGCGGTCTTTTGCTGAGCCGCTCCAGTCGGCTGGGGCGTGCCGCGAGTCGGAGGCCTTTTGCACGCTAGGAATCGTTAGAGGCCGTTTTTTTCTGCCTGCACTTCGCTGGCACTCGGGGGGTTAAACGCACCTGTGCCGGGAGTTTTGGTCCTTCGTTTTGCCTGAGTTTCTTTTCCATGCAGGACTGAAACCGAGAATTTCTTTCTGCCTTCTCAGTGCTGAGTGCAGCACCTCCGTGTGAAAGCAAGAACTGTATTCTGGTAGAGCAGGGCCGGAGAACCGGTGGCCTACCAGATGTTTTGGCCTACAGTTCCCATCAGCCCCCACTATTAGCTATGCTGGCTAGGGCTGATGGGAGTCGCAAGCCAAAATGTCAGAAAGACCTCAAGGTGTGTTGTGATACACAAACTGTGACACTCTTTTCTTTGCAGAAGTTCTTTTCTGCATCGATAAAAAGCAAGCTTTCCTCTTGACTTCCAGCTCTCCGGCGTGCCAAGCCAAAACTCTGCTCTTTGAGGCGTGTTTCACTCCGCATTTAAATGGGGCTGTGCTAAAAGGGCTTCGGATGGAGCTTTCTCTTGGAGAAGTGGGAGAAAGGAGCTTCCAGCCGAAAGGATTCCGGCCGCTCGACGTTCTGAGCAGACCCGCACTTGACCTTGCTGATGGCAAACGTGTCTCTGATTGCAGGAAGTCCGACACCGCGGTCGATATGGACGAGATGATGGCTGCGATGGTGCTGACCAGCTTGTCCTGCAGCCCCGTGGTGCAGAGCCCGCCCGGCAGCGACGCCAGCATGCCAGGTGAGCTGGGCCCGCGGGCGTCCGTGTCGCACCCCGAGGAAGCCCCGCCGCGGTGCGTGACCGTGCTTGTTCCCGCAAGCCAGCTGCGTGCATTTCTGGGGCTGGGCTCTTGCAAGGAGCCGGAGTGGCCGTGGGGGAGAGGAAGGGGGGCCGTGCGTTGGGTCTGCTGAGCAGGGAAAGGGTAGCGTCCCGTCCCTTCCCTGGACCGTCCGCTCGTCTCCGTGAAAGCCCTTTTGTCGGCCAGCGCTGGACGGGAACCCTGTGTTTTGCCTCGTAATGTTGAGCTTGGCCGTACTTGCAAACCTGGGCCCGGGCCATGACAAGCATTCCTTGGAAAAACCATCTGCAAGTCGCGGCCCCGGAGAGCTGGTGTCCGCTCCACCCCCGGCCCCTCCCACCCGCAGGCAGCTGCTCGGAAGGCATCTGGCCGGGCTGGGGAGGCGCCCACATTCCGGGGAGAGGGAGAGGGAGGGGAGACGGGAGAGGCCGGGCGCGTAACCCAACCCTCCCCTCGGCAGGGCGGCCGTTCCAGTTGTGGGGCCAGGGCTATTACGGGAGCAGCGGGCATGGGAGCTCCGAGGGGGGACAGCGCCTGCGTTCAGCGGCCCTTCCCAGGAGGCACGCTGGACCCTCCGTGGTGTGTGTGTGTGTGTGTGTCTAAAAATAGGCCCCTCTCCCAGCGTGGGAAATAGCAGGAACTTGGCAAGCCAAGTTGGCAGTGAAGGTGTGGACCAGGCCGTAGGAACTGGGCCGGGGTGGGGCGGGCGTGTCCTTTCCTGTCTTTTTCCTGCCCCCCGTGCGGGCACCCCGTCCCAGGGATGGGGTGCAGTCCTTGCGCATGGACGCAGCAGTGTGCCCAGGCCTGGCGCCACCTAAGGAACATACATTGGACCTGAGAGGAAGCGCACACGGAACCGAAGCCTCAGGCGCTCAGCGGTGCGTTTGTGTGCTGCAGGAATTCAGTTCAGGCACTGCACCAAACCTGGATTTGCAGCAGGCTCCGTTTAGAACTTAACTATTGCTATTTTATATATCACACGTGCAGAGTCCGAGCTGGTGTTTTGGATTCAGAAATGTGTGAGAATCAAACTACGGTTTGGGGCGGCTCAACTGGTTTTGTTTTCTAGAGCTATTGCTATCTCTGTTATTAATCACATTGCACCCTGCCTTTTTCCCTCTTGCAAAGAGCCCCGAGTGGCTTACATAGTCTATCTCCGCTCTGCTTTCTCCTCACCACAACAACCCTGTGAGGCAGGCCAGGCTGAGAGTCTCTGGCTAGGCCAAATCACCCAGAGCTCCGTGATAGCACGGGAGTGAGAACTCCGTTCCCTCGGGTTCCACTCCAGCATTCCAGTCCAGAGCACCGCTTAGTTTCCTGTGTCTGTAATTCTTCCCCCCTCTTTTTCCTGGGGGAGATGATTATCATGTGATAGCCCTCCCCAATCATTTGAAGTGGCACAGTCCAGACACAGGTAGACCATCTCACTTGGAACTTGGCCCATGATGCTGTTATTTCTGGTGCAGATCCACTGTAGAAATGCCTTCCACCCTGGTTTCTCTGCCAGACCACAAAAATATAATCTTGGAGTTTCCACGGGTGTCTGGTTCACTGGAGGGTATTGGGAAGTTCCCGAGTTCAATCCCCACCACCTCCAGGTAGGGCTGGGACAATCCCTTGTCGGAAATCCCGGGCAGCAGCAGCTGCCAGCCCGTGCTGACAGAACCAGGCTAGATGGGCCGCCGCTCCGCATGAAGCAGCTTTTGTGTTTCTGGAATCCCTTGCAGAATGGATTTTTACAAATTAAAAAAGACTTGATGCGTCCCGGGTGCTGGAAGGAGCCAAGTGGCAGCTGGAGCGATTTAATGATGCCCTGTTTCAGGCACGGGCCGCAAGTGGAGAACGGCCAGGGTGCCCCTGAAAGAATTCTGAGCGAGCCGTGAGCAGCGGGAGCACTCTCACCCAACACGAAGCGGGGCAGTTTTGATTCCTCGCCAAGTGGCAGGAAGGGTTCTCTGGAAGGGGGCCTCCACTTGCTGGGTTTGAGTTTCGTGTCGTGTGTCCGGCCCTGAAGAGGCTGCGTCTTCCTTTGCGCCCAGCCTGGTTTTGCCAACCTCAGGAGGAGCCCTCGTGGCTGTACCGTGTGGTCTTGAGGCTTGCACAGGGTTTGGAAAAGGACCAGGTGCGACTGGTGGAGCTTAGCGTCCCGGAGGAGGGCACAAGTGGCCCTCGGGACGAGCTGCTGCAGCGTCTGTCCAGCCCGTTCACGGCCCCCCAGCCCGAACGGTGGCCGCCACCGCATCCGCGGCAGTGCGCCCCATAGCCGAACTGTGTGCCCCGTCAAGAAGGGCTCCCTTTTCTCGGTCCTGAATCTCCCGCCATCCTGCTTCACGGGATGAGGCCGATTCCGGTCCTGGGGACGGGGGGACAGGTGCCTCCCACTCCGCTTCCTCCACGCACAAATTCTGTGCACCTCCGCCGTGCCTTCCCTTCCTCGCCTCTTTCCGGGAGGAACATCTCGGCTGCTGTGACCCCCCCTTCAGGGGGCGTTGCTGCAACCCCTGGGTCATTTCAGTTGTCCGTTTCCGCACTTGGTCCTCATCCCCTGTGGGAATTAACGGTTTGGAGCTTCTGTAATCCCCGCATCTTTCCATTTTCCAAATCAGAACTCCTGCTTACCATCGTCATCGTCGCCAGTATCTGTAGCACCCATGGAAAGCACAGCCCAGATTATTTATACAGGTTGGAACATTTTGGACTTCAGCTCCCAGCATTCTGGCAAGCGTGCCCAGTGCTCATGGGAGTTGTAGTCCACCACCTCTGTGAACAACCCTCTGTGGTGGGGGAGGTTGGAAGTCAGTTGCAGGCCCAGAATTAGGCGTGGAGCTTCCTGGCTGAGTGAGGATTTGAACCCAGGTTTCTGGGTCACAGGCTGACAGTCTAGGCCAGCTTGATACCCATCGAACATGTGGGGGAGAATTGGTTGAGGTGTCTGGGAATGATGGGAGTTGTAGTCTGTCTCTAAAGGTGTGTCTGGTTGCCGGTTACGGACAGCCCTGAAAGAGCGTGCTCCACGGTTGCCCTCCCGCCCCAGACGTTGGGGCTGCCCTCTTTTCTTCCGAGCTTTCCGCAATCGCACGAGGGTTTCCCTGAAGACCCTCCAAGGCAGGGCACGATGGCAAGCGTGCCCCGGGCCATGGGTGCCCGTCAGACGTGCCTGGCGGGAGCAACGGGCCGAGGGCTCACGGCGGCGCTTCGCTTCCTCAGCCTCGCAGGCGGCCTGTGACGTTTGGAAGGAGAGCGGCGACATGTCGGACGGAGGCAGCAGCACCACCAGCGGCCACTGGAGCGGCATCTCCACGCCCTCGCCCCCCCACTCCCAGGCCAGCCCCAAGTACTCGAGCGAGGCCTTCAGCTCCCCGCGGGCCGACGACGGCTTCGAGACAGACTCGGACCCCTTTCTCTTCGACGAGCCGGCCCCGCGGAAAAGGAAGGTGTGTGGGGAGGGCAGGGGCTGTCTTCCCGAAGGGGTGATGTCCTGCCGTGAGCAGGGGTTGGGCTGGATGACCTCCGGGAGCCCTTCCTTCCCATGATTCTGGGAAGGCCCTTGCTGGACCCAGGTTCTCCAGCCTGGAGCTCTCCAGGTGGGCTGGGTGGGAGCTCCTGCACTTCCCTGCCAAGCGTCCCCATATCTGGAGGTCTCAGGGCAGGACCGTCCTCTGAGTAACTTTCCAGAACAGCTTTTTCTGCCCTGGCCCCATGCTTATCGCCTGGCACAATTCACATCCTTTGTCTATGGCAGTTGTCAGCAAGCAACGAATGAAACGCCCCACAGTGAGGATGGGGGTGTTTGGATTTTATTTATTTATTTATTAAAACATTTTTATGCCGCCCCATTCGCCGAAGCCTCGGGGCGGCTTACAACACTAAGTTAAAATAATTATAATATAAATCAAAAATATAAACATTACATTAAAAATACAAAAATACATTATAAAATAAGCCGCCCTGGCCACATCCCTGGATGTGGATTTGTTGTGGTGCTTGTGCTTTGCACGCTCCTGGAAAAGCCGTTCTGGTCTCTTGCACGCTTCCCCCCAGCCCTCCCTTTGGAGTTTCCCAGGAAAAAGCACGTCAGAAAATGAGCGCTGTTCCTCTGAGCAGAAGGGAAGAAGCAAAACTCAGAAAGTCATGGAAACCCAGAACATAGCCACAACCCCGGGCATGGGTTGCTGTTGAATTGTGGGTTGTGGGTTGTTGCTCGGTGTGACCCTTACACTACATTTTAACTAAGGGCTATTGGCCACGAACGAGCCAGCGTTCACAACCCCACAACAAGTGGGGGTTCTCCTCCTGGGTTATTCCTGGTTAACAACCCATGGTGTACGGTTTGCACAGAGTGACACCCACAATTCAACAACAGTCCGTGAGACAAGGCTAACCCACGCTCAGCCCATCGCCTGGGCAAATCCGCTCGCCACAGGGCTCCTTCCCTGCCGGAGGGGCGCTCGGAGGGCCTGCTGTCGGCCCCCGAATGACCCTGGTGTGGGTCTCTCCTAGAATTCGGTCAAGGTGGTGTACAAGTGCTTGTGGCCGAGCTGCGGCAAAGTCCTCCGCTCCATCGTCGGGATCAAGAGGCACGTGAAGACGCAGCACTTGGGGTAAGCCCCCCGGTTCTGGGGGAGGCGTGGCGGCATGGGCGGGGGCCGCGTGGCGGGAGGGTCCTGCGGACGTGGCAACGCAGGAGGGGGGAGACGCGGGCACGGCGCGTGGATGTCGGGGCCGAGCTGGGGTGGTCTGTGGCGGCCCTCGGGGCCAGAGCCGGAGCGGTGGGGGGCGGCCTTGCACGGCGCAGCCCTCAGTCGCCCGAGGCTCGCTTTAGGACGGGGGCTTGGGTGGCCGCTTGGAGAGCGGCAGGCAGGTGCCCCCCGTCCCTGTCGCCCCACCAAGGGCGCGAGGCCGAGCTTTGCTTTCGGCCCGTCGCAGTGGCCGGTCTTGCGCACCGCCATTCCTGTCGGAGCCTGGCCGGACTGTGAGGGCTGGAAGATCTGGGTGGGGTCCTAGGCTAGGCCCCCCTTTCCCCTCGCAGGCTAGGATCCTATTCTGCAAGGAAGCTCTGGGCAGTTTCTGGCTGCCCTTGTGCTCTGTGTCCCTGGGAAGAGGTTCCCCCACACACGCCCGGGACCCGGCTCCAAATCCTGCTCGCTTGCACTCTCTCTGGTGGACGGGGTGTCTAGATCTGACTTTGTGGAAAACTGGGAGGCAGCCAAGTGTCCGCCGCCGGTTTCGGTGCAGCCGCTTGGGCCTCCGATTGGCACGCAGCTGAGGAGCCTCTGGCGGAGGGCGTGGGTTTCCTCATTCCCTCCACGCTTCTCTTCCATCACGGCAGGGACGGCGCCAACTCGGACCAGCGGAAGAGAGAAGAGGACTTCTATTACACGGAGATGCAGGTGAAGGAGGAGGCGCCCCCGGAGCCGCCGGCCACCGTTCCCAGCCCCCCGGCGGGCTCCTCACCCATGGTCGTCCAGCAGACTCCGTCCCAGCCCGAGGCCCTGGTCTTGGACCGGGTGGCCACGTTCAAGCCTCACCTGCCCGGCGCAGCCCTCAGCCAGTCAGCGCCCAGCTCCTTCTGGCACATCCAGGCGGACCACGCCTACCAGGTAGGACGCCCCCCCTCCCCGCCATCCCCCGGCAGCCTCATGGGTCGCTCGGACCCTCCCCGCAGCTGGGATGGTGGCCTGTTCTCCACGAGAAGCAAAGCAGCCGCTTTCTGATGCCCGGGGGTGCTGCTGAATGCCACCTCTCCGGCTTGCCGTTTTGTCGATCAAGTGGAGGGGTCGCCACGAGGCCAGGACAGGCATGGCTTTTATCACCGGGCACTGAGCCTGTTTCAGCCCAAGGACTGGATCCCCTTCTGGGAGCCCTTTGGGGGCCCCTTTCTGCGGGTGGGCAAGCTGAGGATGAAAGGGACGCAGGCAAGAGTTCCGACGTAGTTAGGGATGTGTGAGGGACCTGTGGGTGGGAATCCCTCACATCTCTGCGCCCAGCTCCCTGGACTCTGGTCCGCTTTGGGCTCGGAGTCCCTGGCGTCCCTCTCCCTACCTGGTGGAGCGCAGCCTTCCTTCCACGAGAGTTTGCAAACTCCCTCCCAGCTCGGGTGCGAGACCAAGCAAGCGCAGGAGGAAGTGCTTGGAGGGACGGGCTCCTGGGGGTCCCTCCCGGTCCCAGGCTTGCTGCAAGGACCTGGCCCCTCAGAGAGGCGTTTCTGCCCCATAGGACGGAAAGAAGAGGGGCTGCAGGGGGCGAGGGGACGGGGTGTGGCCATCCAGGGAATTCTGGCAGCTCGGGAGGCCAGACCTGCGCTTCTGGACACCTGGTTTACACCTTCGCACCTCTGTCTTCTCCAATTTCCAAAGTTCTCATGGTGGGGCAGGGAGAGGCATCAGAATGCACAGTGCTGAAAGGCCAGATTGTGAAAATGGATTTTCCAGCGGGGCCAGTGGCTCTGGAAGTGCAGTTAATTTGCGGTGCGTTGCAGGCTTAGATGGAAAACATTTTCTGCCATCCCTTCCTTCCTTCCTTCCTTCTTCTGCCAGGCTTTGCCGTCCATCCAAATCCCCGTGTCGCCGCACATATTCACCAGCATCAGTTGGGCTGCCGCCACCTCCACGATTCCTACCCTCTCGCCGGTGAGTCTGACGTCTCGGTGAACCCCGGGAGGGCATCTTGGTGGGCAGCGAAGGCCACTTTGCCAAGCCCTGCGCCAGCCGGAAAGTCCCGGGGCAGCAAAACATTAGGAGGCGCAGTTAATCTCACGCCCAGCCTTTCGAAGACGCTGCTGCAAGCTGAGTGCGTGATAAACTGCTAGCGTTCTCCCATACCACTGACTGAGTTTGCTTTAAAAGAGGATTGCTCTGTTACGGGGAAGCAAAACGGCCGTGCAAGACCGAAGGTGGTGCTTTTCTGAAATACAGGCTTCATTCAGGTTTACTTTCCTGTTTTGCTCTACAGGCAAAGCCCTCCGGTGGGTTTGCAACAGTTAAAAGCATAAAATACAATGTAAGACGTAAAAGCTTAAAACTACAGTGTAAAATCGAAGTAAAAGCCAAAGTAACGCCTGGACGGTATGAAGGCAGGAGGCAGGAATAATGTAAATCGCAGTGAATAATGGAGCCGGGAAGACTAAAATTTCTGAGGAGTGGGTTGGGGAAGAATACGGTGGAAGGGCTGGAGAGCGAGAGCGGAAATTAAAAATGCCTTCTTACAAAAGGAGCTTCCCATATTTGCCACAGGGCCTGCAGACTTCCAGGTGAGGAGCCTGGGGGCAGGTGAGCTGGGGGAGCCAGGAAAGGGTCTAAAGTCGGAGGACTCAAACGGTGACGCTCCAGGCGGTTTTGAAATGCAGCTCCCCCCATCCTTTGGTGTTGGCTGGACTGGCTGGGGCTGATGGGCGTGGTGGTCCAGCCATCTCTGGGAGACCACAAGTTGCTCTCCCCTCCGCACAGTCCAGAGGTGGAGAAATTGGGCAGATTCGGCGGCCACGGGGGATCGGACCCCTTCCTTTCCCGTGCCCGGAACGACCCTCGCCAGCCCCCCGGTTTGCGGCTGGCAGCTCTGAAGCCCCGCCCAGCATGACAGGAACATGGGACATGCCCTGCCCGCCCACAGCGCTTCTGTCCCACGCCTCTGGGGTGGGCTTTCCTTATGGGGTGGGCAGGCCCTAAGGACTGCAGAGTCGCCACGTTGGTTCCCGCTCACGGCCCGTCCGGTCCAGCACGCGGTTCCCACGGTGGCAGACGGGCTGCCCACCAGCAGGAGGGGGGCGAGACCTCCCCCCGCCCAGGCCCAAGCTGCTCGGCAGGGAAGCTGCCTCCGATCGTGCGGGAAGCTCCTGGCTGACGAGACGAGTCGCCGTGGGCAACGTAGCGTCGTCTTGCAAGAAGCACTTGTTAGAGGAACGACTGGGGAAGAGAGAGCGGGTTGGCGTGGCTGCGAAATGGGGTGGTGGGGGCGGCCACGCTGCCTGGAAGTCCAGGGGAGCGAGTGGATGGGGGCTGTTTCTTTGGTCCTTCTCGGGAGCTTCCTGCACACATCCTGGGTCCCCCTGGAAGCAGGTCGTTCTGAGAAGTCGGAGGCCGTGGGTCTGATCCTGGAAAGCCCCCATTTCACTGTCCGTGGCCGCCGCCGAGGTTTCCAGTCCTTGGCTGCTGCTGAGGTTCCCTGTCTGGTCCGGTCTCGCAGAGACGTCCGGAGCAGCTCTTAGCACGTTGCACAGAGCAGAGAGAAACCCAAAACCCTGCTGTGAAACGCGAACCAAACGGGGGCTTCTTTCTTCCAGGTCCGGAGCCGGTCCCTGAGTTTCAGCGAGCCGCCCCCGCCCCCGCCGCCCCAGCCCCCTGTGCTGAAGTCCCACCTGATCGTCGCATCTCCTCCCAGAGTGCCCAGTGGCACCAGGTAAGAGATGGCGGAGGGCACAGCTGGGCGGCTGCACTGGGGGCTATGGAAGGAAGCGAGGGCCACCCCGTCCTGGCTGCCCCCGTCCTGGGCCAAGGACCTGCTCACTCAGGGCCTCCTCCCGGAGGCCCTCAGATGCATCTGGGGCCTCTTCGGAGCAGAGGATCGACCAGGTCGGCACATCTGTTTGGTCTGCGGGTCGAAGGGCCCCAGCCTGGCACCTCCTGATCAGGCAGCAGGTGTGGGGCCAGTCCCCGTAGGCGGAGCTGGAAGCCCCCAAAGAGCCTGGGGAGACCGCCTGGCAAGGCAGACCCCGGCCTGGCAGACCCCAGGCTTGAGGAGCAGGCTTCCCCACGATGCCCGGAGACCTTGGGCATCTTTGACCAGTGAGAAGCCCCCATGGCTCGGAGGGCTGCATGGGGCGGCTTTCTGTGGGCCCCAGACTCCATCTAAGGGTTGGTCCTGTCGGGGTAAATCCGTTGTTGTGTGACCCGATCCCGATGGGACCAGAACACTTTGCTCCGGTCCCCACCGTGGACCCCGGTGCTGCCTCTCACCCGGGCCTTTGTAGCAGATTTGGGTGCATGCACGGGGGGCTTGCGGGACCAGTGCCTTGCTCTGCCCTCTCTTCCTACCCCCTGTGGCCCGCCGAAGCAAGCCTCTTGCAATTTCCGGGCTTGATGGATGGGCCATCCTTGGCGCGAGCGGCTCCCCCTCCAGCCCATCCCCTTCGGTCGAGAGATGTCCGGCAGCGGACAGGCGGCAGAGCTGCTGCCCACGGCTCCCGTGCGCCCCTGGGCCGCCGGATCGAGCCTCTGCAGGCCTTCACGCCTCGCCCTCTGTCTCGCCGTTCTGCAGGAAAGTCCGCGGCGAGGCCAAGAAGTGCCGCAAAGTGTACGGCATCGAGCACCGGGACCAGTGGTGCACCGCCTGCCGGTGGAAGAAGGCATGCCAGCGGTTTTTGGACTGAGAGTGTTGCACGCGCGCTTGCTCGCCCGCCCGCTCGCTCGCTCGCACGCACGCCTGCACGGGGGCTGGAAGGCGGAGCGCGCTCCCTCCCGCTGTTGGCCAGAGCGCCGTGTCCTCGCCACGCCGGGCCCGGTGGCCCCGGGAGCGACGCCCGCGCTGCGGCAGCTATCTCAAGCGTCCCCTCTTTGTCCGAAGCTCTGTATAGCCGACGTCTGCCAGGTTTTCTAACACTCAGTGTTTCGTGGGGATGTTTCTTTTCTTTTTATACACTTTTTTAAAAACAGCAACCCAGGGAGCATCGCTTTCCCTTTGTAAATAACTAGGGCAGAGAAGATGCAAAGCGAACGCAAGGAGCCATGAGCTTGGTGTGTGTATTTTGCCAGCTTGCTTCCTGTCGGGTTCAGGGACCAAAGAACTTTGCATTCCCCCCCCCCCCCGTAAGTGGACGGGGCTGGCTGAGGGTTTGGGGTGGGGGTCGCAGTGTGGGACTTAGGGGCAGCCTTGACACTCCCCACTTGACTCTCTGGAAATCGCAGTGTGCGGGAACGGGGGCACAGCCCTGCAGCTCACGGGGGCCGGGAGCACCCGATGTTCCCGCGCCATGTCCACAGACAAACTCATGGAGGGCACCCCTAAGCAAGCACTGCTGTTAATTCATCTTCTAATTAAGCAAATGCATTCTGGGGGGGCGGGACAATCATTGTATTGAATTGCAATCAGAGGATTTTTAAAAAATTGCTTGCTGGTGCCAGGAAACGGAAGATAAGTCGCAGGATTTTCATAGCTACTGCTGTTGGGCCATCGTTGTGGGGGGAAGTCAGGCCCAATGGTTGGAGAAGCCCGTGCTGTGGGCAGCATTTGCATGGAGCAGTTGTGGTTGTGTCGGAGGCACCTTCTCACGTGATGCGCCAGCGCAAGTTGCGCCAGCGGGAGACCGCGAAAACAGGGCTTTCCTGTTTCTTATCTTGCCTCTTTTCTGGAGGTTTCGGTCCACACTTCCTATTGCATCTCTGCGTGTCACACAGCGGCAAACCGGCGTTTGCCAGGAGTTCGCATCGACGCTGAGCTCTTCTTATCTTGGCTTCCCCGGCAAAACCCTCCCTGGCCGAGGGAATGGCCGCGTGCGGTGCCCCTGTGTGGAGCGTCTTCAGGTGCGCTACAGACCAGGTTGATCTTGGCACAGCGGAAGTCATCTGCGCACGTGTCTGCGCCATTGCTTTAGGATCGTGACATCACGGAGCAGTTGAGCTGGAAGGGGCCGGGGGGCCATCAGGTCCACCCCCTGCTCAGTGCAGGCCCTCACGTTACACCATCCCACTCAGGTGGCTGCCCAGCGGCACCTTGGATGCCTGCGGGTGGGAGAGCCCAGCACCTCCCCGGGTCGTGGGTCCCGTTGCCGCACTGCTCTAGCCGTCGGAAGTTCTTCCTGATGCCTGGCCAGAACCTGGCTTCCTGCCACTCGAGCCCGCTGCTCCGGCTCCTGCACTCTGGGAGGACCGGGAAGAAACCCTGGCCTTCCTCTTTGCGACAGCCCTTCCAAGTCCATGGAGAGGGCTATCCCATCTCCCTTCCATCTTCTCTTCTTGAGGTTAAACATGCCCAGTTCTCTCAATCTCTCCTCATAGGGCTTTTTTCCAGTCCCCGGATCCTCCTCGTCGCCCTTCTCGGAGCCCTTCCCAGCTTGTCTGCATCTTTCTTCAAATACGGTGCCCAGAACTGGACGAAGAACTCCGAATGAGGTGTGACCAGCGCTGAGCTGGGACTTCAGCCGATTAGGAAGTGCAACTTCTAGTAATGCATCCTTAAAGTAGTATTTGCCCTTTCTGCAGCCGCATCACATTGTTGGCCTGTATTTCGCTTGCGGCCTTCACTACGTCAGGATCCTTCTCATTTGCAGTCTTGATGAGCCTTCCCCATCTTGTAGCGGTGCATTTGGTTTCTTTTTCCTAAGTGGAAAACCTGGCGTTTGCCCCTATTGAATTTCCTTCAAGATCACCTTGAATCTTCTTTCTGTCTTCCAGGGTATTAGTTACCGCACCTCGTTTTGTGCCATCTGAAAACCTGATAATTGGTTCCCTGCATTTCACCCAGCTCATTAATGAAAATGTTGACAAGCGCTGAGCCCTGCAGAACCGCACTCGTGGCCTCTCCCCAGTCGGAGAAGGTGCCATTCTTTGAGTCTCCCACAACTGACCCTCCGCTCTTGTTCTTGCAAGCCGTGGCGTCGCCGCTAATACTCGGTTGATCTTCAGCCTCTTGTTCAGTGTTTCCTGGGATGACTTCCAGTGCTGGAGCCGGGGGTCAGACTAGATGGCCCGGGATACCCCTTCCGACTCGCTCTGTTTCTGTGTTTCCCCAGTCGGCTTTTCTCCGGACTCATCCTCGAGCAGCAGAAAGTCCAAGATTTCCACTGCTTCCACTGGTGGAGAGTGTCGTCTCCTTCTCCTGGCACCCTTTTCCGGGGAGTTTCCTCGTTTTCCCTTCCCTTGGGATTCTCTTCTTCTGCCTGAGCTTCCTGTTGTTCTGCTACCTTCTGTGCCACTCTTAGCTGTTGTAGCTCCACTGCCCTGCCAAAAACCCCTCATCTCCTCTTATTCCCTTGAGGGGGGCACCTGAGTGCTCTCAGCTTTTCCTCCAGCAGCTCCCCAGCTTGCCGTGTTGACCTCAGGCAGGAAAACAAGCACCACGCCGACACTGCAGACCGTTCACTGCGGAGCCTTCTCGGCCCGTCCTTCCTTTCTGATCCCGGCTTGCCGGACCCGGGGCCACAACCAGTGCTCCCCACTTCTCTCCGGAAGGTCAACGACACAGTCCTACCAGTCTCTGGGAGTGTGTTACGAGGAGGAGAACCAAGGGGGGGCACCTCATAGCCCGGAGCCGGGGCAGGCGCGGTGGGTTGCGCTTGTCCCGAACAGCTCTCAGAGCGTCATGGCGGACGCGAGGACGCCTTCTTGGCAGCCCCAAAACCGAACCGCCACACTGCCACGGATGCAACACTGCTGGCCAGGGGGCCACGTAAAACGCGGTGGTGCCGATTCATGTGGCCCAGTCCCTCTCCCTGGGAGACGCCCGCCCGCCTTTCCCTGCATTGCACAAAGGCCGGTGCACAACAGCAGTGGCGATGGAAGGGGCGTGCGAGGCAGTTGAGCAAGAATTGGGATTGTTTGCAGCGCCCCCCCCCCCCCCGCCCTCCTGGCCCCGCAGCATTTGGATAATCACGATGAGCCATAAACTAAAGACACAAACCTCTCCTTGTAGAGTAGTAACCAAACCCCGTGACCTGGAGAATTGAGATTTCTTTTGAGAAAAATGTGAGTCCTGCTTTACTTTAAGGGTACTTTAAGGGTGGGGAGGGGAGAGTTTAAAATGGATTTTATGTACATTATCGGTGCTTGTTAATTTTTTTGTGCTTTTTGTAATTTTGTGCTTAATATACACAGTATGTCGGATTTTATTTTTCTAGCCCGGACTTCTGGCAGATGCCAAACTGGTCGCGTTCAGAGCCTTTAAAGAGAAATGGATTAAATTGGAATATTAAACTTGGATCTCAGATTTATGCATTTCAAATTCTGAAGGTGGGATTTTGGGATAGGTGAAGGTCAGATTTTTAACCAGGGGGTGGGGTTACTATAATTTTTTTAAACAGAGAGGTTTCATAGTTACGAGGAGAAAACCGGAGGCCTTTCCAGAAAATGCAAGATTTTGATTGCAGGGTCTGAATTTTGGTGGCCATGGAGGGCAATTTCAAAAATGAGAAGTTTGGCTTTGGGAGCCACCCCAGGGACTGGATGAGCATTTTCGGTCTCTTCAGCCAGGACAAAATCTTTTGTTCAAGCTCCAACCAGACTATCTTGCCTTTGCCTCCCTGATCCCCAATATTGGGGTCCCTGTTCCTGCTTGTGCACCCACGCAGGATCCGGGGGGGACCGTCTTTGCTGGTCGCAGAAGCGTTTGGCCGTGGCCCGTCGTGGCAAGCGCTGAAGCGAGCCCCCGCTACCGCCCCCTGGTGACCGGGAGGGAGGGAAGCCCTTTCCACTGGGAGACCTGTGGCTTTGACCTGCCTTGGCGTTTGCACCCCAAACAGCTGGGGGCTTCCTGGGCCAGCGTGTGCTTGCGGTGCATTTCCAAAACCTCCCCTGCCCATCCTTTCCCTTTATCCGTTTCCACGCTTCTTCACGCGGTAAATATTTCGGCCGTGGCTCGCAGTGGCTGCCCTCCAAGCCGCCCTTCGCCACCCAAATGCGATCACCGCCACGGGTGGCTGATTCAAGGAAGACAGTCCTGCGGTTGCCGGGACTCTTTTCTGCCTGAATGTGGAACCTGCAGAGGTTCACCTCCGACTGCCTACGGCCCCAAAGCCAACCTTCGCTTTTGAAAATGACCCTTTTGCTGCCACGTTCCTGCATTTCAAAGGTTTCCTTCTGCTCCGTATTGCACAAAAGGCCTCGCCTGGTTGAAACCGTTTTGGAATTTTTGTGGGTCAGAGCAAAGCTGCCGCTTCCCACAGGCAGGATTTTATGGGGCTTCCATTCCCGGTTCAACGGGAACCCCTTTCAGTTTCCCTTTCTGTTGAACGGAGGGGAACGGCAAACGAGTTCCCGGTGGATCGTGTCCAGAAAGCCCGAGGTCTGAAGAACAGTTGCCTCACTGGCAGAAGTCTGGGCCTTGTGCTTAAAGAGAGAAATTATTTTGTGTAGCTTTTTGTTAAAACATGATTGAGAAGGGCAGGGAGGAAAGAGGAAAGGAAACGTTTAAAAAAAGGTTGGGATAAGCAGTGAAGTTGCTGCGGCGTGTGCGGGGTCGCGATTCCCTCGCTGAATCCCTTCTGCTGTTATCCAGTATCAAAGGAGCATGTGCTCTCGGCGATAAGCCGGACGGCCAAACCCATCGCCGGCACGCACCCGGGCCTGGCCCGTTTCTCGGGGCAAACAAGTCGGCCTTTCTCAGATGCCTCATTCCAAAATTTATAGCACTTAATTTTGGAGCGTGAGAAAAGAAGCTAAACCTGCATAGGAGCATATTTGTTATCCGTCTTATTTTGCTTTTTTAAAAATAGGGGATAAGTGTTTTTTCTCCTTCCCTTCTTATGCATTATTTTAGGAGCTGCATGGTACAAGTTAGCCCGGATAGTGGATGTGTCTGGACTATTACTCTGGTTTAAAGATGTGCTCTTTCTTAAAGTGCTGGGAGGGTGTGGGGAAACGGGGGGTCTCAGTCCCCTCCTCCACCACCACATTGAGGAGGAAAGGAGTGGAGTGTTCCCTTCTCCCCTGGTGCGATTTTGCAGGTAGATTTGATGGGTGCAGGACTATGAGACACACCTGTGTGTGGAAGGCACAGGTAAGGAAGGGAAGTGGGGAGAGCAGTCTTGTTCCGCTGTCGCTTTGCAGATAGCGGTCGTTGCCTGACTCTGATGCCCGACCGCGCATGTGAGTAGCCCTCACTGAGAAGCAGATCTCTTGAAGCCAGTCACTTCTTCCCGGCCTGATTCCATTTTTCTTCCCTTCTTCTGCTCCTCCCTACGAAGTGGTGTGGAGCCCCCATGAATCCTATTCTTGGCCTCTGTTTCTGGGCCTAAAGAAATCCCGTCCCCCCTATTTGAATACCAAAAATCAAGGCGCTATGGTAGATAACTTTGGGGTTTTTTCTCATAGGAATTAAACTGAAAACAAAAATGGCCATTTCTCATAGGAAAGCAAAATCTCTCCGGCTGCCCTGTTCTAGTGTAATTTTTACAGCTCTGAACTCTTAACTCCTTTGTTTGGGAAAGTATAAAATAATAAAAAGGGCTTCTTTCCCTTTCTCCCTCCAGTGCAGTTCCCAACCCATTTAAATCTGGTTACTTTCTCCCCACCCCGCTGGTCCCACATGAAACCCGAACCTTCCTGTGGTGAGGTTCCTCCTGCCCCCAGTGTACGGGGCACCGCTGTCCAACAGGTGCAGTTTGGCTTCCAAGGCTCTGTTGAAGATCCACCCAGCAGCCCTTCCAGGGCTTCTGTCCTGCCATTGCTGTACCTTAATTTCTGTCCCTTGTGGGTACGGCAGCGACGTCTCTGGAAATACACCCAGAGAAAGCTCTGCCCACGTTTTTTCCTTGGCTGAGGGCAGCTGGAGCAGGGAGCGATCTCTTCAAAAGGGCAAGAGGGAGGCGGGGAAGAGGAAGAGGAAGAGGCGAAGGGGCTTGCCGTTCTCCCTTTCGCTGTGCCAATACATGCATCAGGGTCTCTCTTCAAGCAAAGTAATCCAACTTTTAATTGCTTTGTGGGCTTGGCTTGCGGGGAGGGTGAAATTTTGAGCTCCCTGCCTGGTGGCAAGACATACCGAAAAGGGTATGACCGTCTTCTCCAGCCTGGGGCCTTCTGGGTGTGTCGGCCTGCAGCTCCAGCTGGGGGATTGTGGGAGTTGTAGGCCAACACGCCCAGAAAGCCCCAGGTGAGGGGCGACCGGTAGGGAGTTACGGGGTTGAAAGATCAGGGGTATTGTAATCTTCTAACGCCTGCTCTTTGGATGGTCAAACATTCGCGTCTCGCAGGGGAATCGATTATATTGGTGAATTACTGTTTAATTGGAGCTTTTCTTTTCAATTGTCTTCCAAGTATTATTTTTTATTGTAAGCACAAAAAATGTGAAATGTAATTTTTACAACAGCAATATGAAATATATTTTATAATAAAACGATATGGCCTGATAGCTGTCAGTTTTTCTGGGTTTCTGTCCTTGCACCCCCTTGTTCTTGGCACAGGAAAGGTGTAACCGCCATCCTGAAAACGCATGAAATGCTGCAAAGGACCTAGTCCTCAAGGCAGCCGCCAAACCCCGGGCCCGGCTCTGGCTTGCGCATACCACCCATTCCCACCTTGCCAGGGGTGATGGATGTTCCAGCCAGCCACTCTGGGGGCACCGAAATCGGGAAGAGGGACCCCCCCCCCCACCAGTGCGCAGGGTTACGTAACTCCTCAACATATGGGTCAACCCACAGGCCAGGCATTTCTTGACTGGTCTGTAAGTATTCGTGGAAAGTGCAATGGCATGAGGTGAGTTTTATAGGCACCTGGACAGGTGTAGCAACCGCAGAGTGGACCGGCCTGCCAACAAACTAGCATCCCAATCAAAGGCAGGGGTGCCCTCTGCACGTGTGTGCCTGCAACTTTTTGTGGCAACCTCGTTTTCTTACTGCAGAAACTTTGGTAGGATGCAGGTCATTTCCGCAGAAACCTGTGGAGACGCTTACAGTGGACGATGCAGCTTGTGGCTGAACACAGCTAGGTAAACTGGTGCCTGGTGTTCATGTGTTTCTCTCATGGGGAAAGGGCAGTTCCTGCCACATGTCGGAGGCAACGACTGTGACTGCGACACCATTAAAAAATCCTGCAATTGTGCGCAGGCGGCACCGACAACCAGCCCAGATAGTTGTGTGCAGATCAGTTGCACAAGAGGAAATGCCTGAAGGTTTTGAAAAAGCAAAAGGTTGCCGTGGACAAGGAACCGTTCTCACCCGAATCCTCTTCCATCGACGGACATGTTTTCTAGGTTCGCTCTTCGCAATGGCAAGATGTAACAACGGTGGGAACACCTGCCCTTACCTGACCTTTAGCACCAGCCGTTCCACACACCTGTGCAGCTCTCGCCCGCACATGTTAGATTTGTGTGCTGTGCCTCGAAACATCCACACTTCCCATCATCCACACCCATCAACATTTGCCCGTGCTGGCTGGGGATGGTGAGGAGTGCCCGTTTAAGATCCGGAGGACGCGAGGACGGAGAAGGCACCTTCAAAGGGCGGCCAACATGAAAGGCAGGGCCCCTGCAGCACACCTGGAAGTCCTGCCACCCCTCGGGTGGGATTTTTCCTTCCCAGCAGGATGGGCGAAAACCGCAGGTTGGGAGAGGTGCGGCGGCAGGAGGTGGCTCATGGTAGGGGGTGGGGGGAATTTCCCACTTTCAAGTGCTCTGAATTATGACTCCACAGGAATCTAAATTGCTTGGGTTGCCCCTTGCGATTGCCTGGAGGAAATGGGCAGGGCTCGCTGGTTTTCTCCTCCTGGAATCCAGAAAAAGTAATTAAAAGCAAGCTGGCTGGCTCCCGCGCTTGGCAGCTCCGTCCTGGGAAGGAGCTTGCTTTCAGCAAAACGTGCACACCTGGCCCGGCCCGTTCCCCCGGCGGCCGCCCCGCACTCCCTGGGCCCTCCCAGCTTCTGGGCAGGTGCACTGTGCCAGATCGAGGGAGCTTTTCCCTGCCCCAGATGCAGGGAGCAGGTGGTGGTGAGCTGAGCCGCCTCTTTGCCCTGCGTGCGAGAGGGAGGCGAACAAAATGCTGCTTTCCACGGCCGGGAGGTTCTGGCGCTGCAGCACCGAGAACGGGGCAGGAGCAACATCCAGACTTGCACAGAGGACCTGCCATAAATGGCCCATGGGGTCATTGGCAGGGATGCTGAAGTGGGCTGCGAGGTGAGAACCTGCTCAGGTCAGGGTTAGACAAGGCCCAGGGAAACAAGCTTCCAGTCCTCAGTGGTGCAACTCACCGGATGGTCTCGGACCTGCCTCACTCGCAGCCTAAAGCACCTGCACCCAGTGGGCGAGTTTAACCTGTCCACGTGTCCCTGAAAACAAATACAGGGAACCCGGCATGGCTGGATCGTGCCACACGCGTTCCTTGCTGGAAAAAGGATGCTCCTTTCATCAGCGAGTCGTTCCCAGTCATTCACACAGCCTTTGCGCATGCCAGCATCAAAAGGCAACTGCTCTAGGAAATCCGAAGCCATCATCCTGGCGGATGGGAGGAAATCCTTCCGGAATATAAACACTTCTGGGATTTAACTTTAACCATCAAATGGTTCTTCTCTCTTGTAGTTCTTCCTTCAATGCTTCGTAACAGATGTTAAGATCAGAGAAAGGCTGGGGCAGAATCGCTCCCACTTTTCTACGCCCAGGAACCCCCTTGCGTTATTTAGGACATGATTACGTAATTTTGTTATGTAAACCGGATTTATTATGTCAACCATCCAGAGAGCCACAAGGCTATTGTGACGGTATACGAAAGTGTCCAATGAAGAACCAAAAATAAAAATACTGTGATTGTTTAGGTAGAAAAAGTGTCCCAACCATTTCCAGAATTCCTAAGCAAGAATGGGCGATGCATGGTCCTCACAGAATCGGAGGAGAGTAGAATTGGAAGGGGCCAGAGGGTCATCAGGTCCAGCCCTCGGCTCAGGGTGGGGCTAATCCCTCTCAGGCAGCTGTCCAGCTGCATCTTGCATGCCTCTGGGGTGAGAGAGCCCACTGCCTCCCCAGATCTTGGGTTCCATGGTCATGCTGCTCTGACAGTCCAGAAGTTCTTCCTGAGAACCAGTCAGAATTTGGCTTCATAGAAATGGAGCGAGTCAGAAGGGGCCTCCTCGGCCATCTAGTCTGACCCCCGGCTCCTGCCAGCCAAGCATAGGCTGGACATGCACATGGTGGGCATGTCATGAGCAAAGCTGGCTGGAGCCGAGGGTCAGACTAGATGGCCCAGGGGTCCCCTTGTGACTCGCTCTGCTTCTATGTTGCATGCTAGGGAAAGCCCAAGGCAGAAGAACGGAAGAGCACCGAGGAGATGGCTTGCTTCCATACAGGGAACCCCGACCTTTAGTTGGCAAGAGCGGGGCAGGGCCTTTAGGGGTGCTAGCATTCATTCACGGGGTCACCTCAAGTGGGAGATGACTGGAGGGCCCAGCACAAGAGAAGCAGCACTAGGCCTCTGCTCTCGGAAGTCCCAGGCGAACCGCGACCTTTCCATGTTCTCTGAGTGAGATTCCATGTTAAACTGGAGTTCATCCTGCCATCAGCAGGGGGTCGGGGGTCAATAAGAGGCTGGGTGATACCCGGTGTGACTCGGTTGCTCAGGACCTGGTTTAGGGAAAAAATGGAAAGGACTCATCCAGGTGAGCGCATCCCATATATCTCACGGGGAAAACGGTCCATTCGCAGAGCAAGATCAATCCAACAGGTGCGCCCCATTCTGCACATGGTGCAATTTCACCGGAGCCCAGCGAGCCGCCGCATGGGCTGCTGGGCACAGAATTCAATGACCCGAGAACGTCTTCATCAACTTGCTGGGTTCAGACACGGAGAGACATTTGCAAAACCAGGCACTGGCTTTTTGTCTCCTCCACAGGGCCCGGCTGTTACAGGAATTGCAGTGAATTAGGCAACGATTTTATAACAGGACAGATTATGCAAATTACGTGCAAATTTGCTTAAACCGTAGGGAGCAGAGCTAAGCGCCTCTAGACACAGGGTCTGGATTACCTTGATGCAGAATTAAAATCCTACAGGATTCAGAGAAGAAGCGAGAAACAAAAGCGCCAAGCTCTGATCTACAGGAGAATGCCTTTAGATTGCTTTCTGGGCCTGCGGATGACCAAGAAGACCTTCTTCCCTCCCTTTGCTGATTGTGCAGGTCCTCCATTTTTCTTCCTCACACATAGTGAATTATTTAGTGATAGTCCACCTTTCAGAGTAACCCTAAAACCTCAAAGAGGCTTACAGCAATTAATACGTGCAACATATCAAATGAGAACACATTCAAAACAAAAGCTGTAATTTATTACCTAAAACAGCAGCAATTCAAGTATGACCCTAAGCCATCAATTAAAAAAAATATCCATGAGGGGAACCAAAGCACAAAGGGGAGGGAATTCGAAAGACGAGGGGCCGCCACTGAAAAGGCCCTGCCTTCCGGACCAATACCCACAAATCTGATTGACCGTAGTGACGGGCGGGTTTGGGTCATCCAGCGAGAAGGCAGCAAAGCCTCAGGGCGCTTGCTTTCTATGGGGCCCAGCTGCTTTCTATGGGGTGCCAGGAAGAGAGAAGCAAAGGCATGCATTCAAATTGCACCGCTGGCCGCCAATGCTCCTGGGGGATGCAGCCCTCCAGCTCCAGGACTTGCAGGCCTCCACTCGGGTCCGCCACTTTCCTGCCGCGTGGCTCCCGCCTCCCCTGGCCCAAGCTTCAGCCTGCTGCCTTCCTCGTCCGCAAGAAGGGGTCCTCCGATCAGCCTTCCCCAACACGGCGCCCCAGACTACAACTCCCAGGGTGCCCACGCAGCAGTCTTCCCCAACCGGCTGCCACCCAGGTGCATAGGGCTGTGCTCGAGAGGATGCTGGGAGCTGTAGTCCAACACATCTGGAGGACTCCAGGTGGGCCAGGCGACAGAAAAGGGGAGGGCCGTCAGGACAGGGCAGGCGAGGAGTGGGGGCTCCCCTTCCCCCGCGCCGCACAGCTTTCCCCCGCTACTCCGGGAGCAGATGAGGCGAGGAATGCCCCCCGAGCTCCTCTCGCGCTGCCCCCCCCGTCCGCCTCCTCCCGCTCCCGGGCTCCCCCTGCTCCTCTGGCCCCGCTTCTTCCCGCTGCTTCCGTGGGCGAAGGCGAACGGGAGCCGCTGCTTGCGGGAAGAACAAGCGCAAGCCTCTCGCCTTACCTCTACGGCGAAAGCGCGCCCACTTCCGGGGAGGAGCCAGCGAAGGCAGCTCCCGGAGCGAGGACTCAGAACGGAAAGACTGGCCTATCCACGGCGGAGATGAGCGACTTCCGGGTATAGGTTGAAAAAGTATCTCCGAACTGCCCGCGCCCCAGGAGCGGAAGAGGCACAAGGAACCGGGGCGAATCTCCGCAGCCAAAAGAGGAGTTCATATGCTATTTCTAACCCA